GAGCCACAAGAAGAGTTACCACTCTTCAGGAACAGTTGAAGAATTTGCTGGCAAACAGCGAACATGCGGTAAGTTTTTTTTAAAAGTATTAATCAGTCATAATTATTAGAAGTAAAGTAGCTTAAACTTGCTGGCAATAATTATTAGTTTTAAAATTTTTTTTGTCGTGATTATTGTTTTAGATTTTTTTTCGCTGCATATTTTTTTTTTTTTTTTTGTTAAATTTCATAAATTAATTATTCTGAATTAATCGAATTCAAACTAATAATAAAAATAATACAGTAAAGGAAATCATTAAAGTATTTATTAATGTTAATAATAGTATTATTGTAACAGTATAACATGTCTCAGAGAATTAAAATTTTATAAAGAGAATGGCTAAGAGCACAACGCAAATTACAAAAAAAAAAAATTTGCATTTAACTTTAACACTTTATCGAGTTATTTTTAGAAATTTTCAAGTTAATTTTATTTAGACTTTTAGTTTTTTTTTTTATTATTTTCTGACATTTACTAATGAATCAATGTCTTTACTCAATGATTTATATATATATATATATATATATATATATATATATATATATATATATATATATTAAAATTTGCATTTTAAGGTATGCATCAGGTATGCGTGTAAAAAAAAATATCGAGTTATTCTTCGCGAAAAATGATTTTTTTCCCCTTGTTTTATTAGTTCCGCGAAAATTTGAAAAGGAAAATTTAAAAAAGTTTCATTTAACATTACAATGAATTAGGGGGTTAAATGTATCCGAATCAAAAAAAAAAAAAAAAAATTTTTGTGAATGAAATTTTTGAAATTTTTCCATGATTCATTATTGAAATGCATTGTAATCTTCAAAAAAAAAAAAAAGATTAAGAATCAAGGGCCGAACCCAAGCGGAATTCTTCGCTATACGTATAAATATAATTTTTTTTTTTTTGGTTATATATATATATATATTAAAATTAAATTAATTAAAATTCAGGTGGTTATTTTTCCGGTGCGCGATATGTAAAATTTTTGCCGGTTAATAAAAATTTGACAACGATAAATATCACACACAACACATTAACGTAATTAATTGCGTTTCTCATGTTTATACTTATATTTGTTAAAGGTAAATAACCTTTACGTATGTATTTGAAATGAAAGAAAGGAATAAAATTTTTTTTAAATATAGTAAATAGTAGAGTTCGAGAAAAAGAATAAAAAGGTTTTTAGGTAGACATTGATGAAATCGTGGTAGCAGCGGGGTGAGCAATCGAAGGTGATATACTGAACCTAGAATCACATTACAAATAAAAGCTATTTCAAATAAAAACTGTTTAGAAAATTTTTAATGAAAAGTATTATTTAATTATACGATTTATAAATTAAAGTAAATTATTATTATTTTAAATATTAAATTAAAAGAATCAAAAGGGAATAATTTAAAAAACGATATATGTACAAAAATAAATGACTGGGAAGATGATGTATTTTTAGATTTTTAAGTTCTTGGTTCAAAATTTTTATGGTTTCTGCGGCAATTTATTTACATAATAGTTTTTCTTTTTTTTTTTTCTTTTTTTACTTTTCCTCTTTATTTATTAAAAGTGTTGGAATTGATATTTAAACGGTTGTAAATTTTGTTTTAGCAAAGTGAAATGTTTTTTTTTTTTTTTTTTTCTTCTTCGTACGAAGGCATCTGATAAAAATTTAAATTTTTTGTGTTTGTATTTAAATCGTTGTTTACGTTGTTGATTGCGCATTTTAAACGCGTTTTTTTTGGGGGAGGGGAGGGTAAGGAGAAATGAAATTAACTGTCTTTAATTGAAAAAAAAAAAAAAAAGAAAAGAAAAATCTTTGAATTTTCTCGGTAAAAATTTAAATCAACATGAAATATTTTTTACTTGAAGTAAAAAAAAAAATTTTCTCGTAATGGCTGACAGTAAGTTTCTTTCTTTTTTTTTTAAATTTAATATTTATAAATTGTTACATGCTTTGTTTCATTATTTTTTATAATAGTCGTAAAAAAAAAAAAATCGTTATTGAGTAATCAAGAAAATTGTTATTATTAATTTTTACATATAATATTTTACTATATTCACAGTTATTAAATTTTCAATAAATACCATTAGCGTTTTCGCAAAAAGTAATTTCTTATTCGTTTTTTTTTTTTTATACTTAATCGAAAATTATATACAATTTCAAGGTTTATTAATAAATTTTAAATATAAATATATAGAATACTGTTAATTACTTATTGCGGATGCATTTCGAAGTCGATTAATTTTTTAATTTAAAAATTTCATTACAAAAATCGCGGGAACAGTGCTAATTTAAATAATTTTTAATAAAAAATGTTTTTAACGTCGCCACGTTTGACAAAAAACAATAATTTTCTCTAAATTTAATTATTTTAAAGTTCTTTAAGTAAGGGATCAATGAGTTTTAATTATAAATATTTAACATTTTTTTTTACAAAAACAAACAAAAATAACTTCATTCGATTTAATTATTATATTCAGTTAATTTTTTTTTTTTTTTTTGTTATTTGGGCACTCGTTTTTGTTGTTTCCAATATTTAATCGATTATAAACGCCGTAATATCATTTTTCATGCACATTTCCGAAAATAATTATTTTTAATTAAACGGTTCGCTTTTCGAAAAATAATGTACCCGCATTTAATAAAGGCAAAGATGCGGTCCCATATCGTTTCCTTTAAGTAAACTATTATTATTATTATTATTATTATTATTCAAGGATTTATTTTTAGTTTACGATTTTACAAAAAAAAAAAAAAAAAAAAAAAAGAAAATTTATTAATTTATTTATTAGTATTATCGTGTCTATTCTTGATTTTAGTAGTTTTTAATTGGTAATAATTTATTATAATACAAAAAAAAATTAAAATGTTTGTTATTATCTGGGACTTAATTTCCCTTTAAGTTAAATTTTATTTTTAATTTCAACTTAAGTTAAATTTTAAAAGTTATGAATAAGTTTTGAGAAATGTGTTGTGAAATTTGAAATTTAGTACAAAGTGCAAAAATTTATTTAAGATTAAGAATCGTGGATAGAAAAGTGTAAAGTTTTACAATTAGAAAAAACAATAATTTTTTCATAGTCATTTGCTCTGCCAAATCCCTAATACAAGTGGGAAAATTTAGTATTTTTTCGTACGTATAATAAAATAGAGAAGTGGATTTTTATGATTTTGTATGTTTTAAAATCACATTAAAAAAAAAGAAGAAGCGTAATATTTCATTGGTTGCGTATTATTTCATTTTTCGCTACTGGTTACCCCTGAAAAAATTTTTAAAATTTTCAAATATTCTTGGGGGATTCTTTTCTCCGAAGGAACTCATTGAAATAAAAATTAATTTTTATTTGTAATGGAAATTTTTTTTTTTTTTTGCATTTTTCTACTTCTACTATTTTCAATTTCAAACAAATAAAAATTGGTTTAAATTCGGAAAAAATTAATTTCATTAATTGTAATAATTATATTATTACGAGAGTTTTTCAAAACAAACAAAAACACAAAATTATTTTGTTGTCTTATTGTTAATGTTTTAAATTTAAAAAAAAAAAGATTTAAAAATCATATAATAATTATTTTCGGATCGGCGGAAAACTAAATTTGTTGTTGTTGAGACTTGCCCGTCCTAAAACGCCAAAGATGATTCTTGTTTTATTTTCGTTCATTATTTTCCTTAATGGGAAGTAAATCAAAAAATTTTTTTTTCTTTTCATTTCACGTTTTCTACGAAATATTATGTAGTTTATACGATTTGAAATTAGCTTTTGATGATAACCGTTGAACACCGTGATTAAATCGTATAATACCGCGATTACATAGGAGTCTCAAATTAGGTCATAAGAGTTTTTTTTTTTTTTTTTTATTAGTTATTTAAAAGAAAAAAGAAAAAAAAAAGTCTTTTAAACAATAGCTAACTTTTTTTAGAAATTTTAATTTGCCGTGAAATGTGACGTCATCATTATTTCACAAAGTTCCGTGATGAACATAATGCCCAGGTAGTATTTGTTGCTTTAATGATATTTTTTTTTTTTTTTTTTTTTCAATAATTATTACGAAGACTTTACATTTCATCTTATTTGATTTTGTTTAAAAAATCATAAATATTAATAATAATAATAAAAATGTGTAATTGTTTCCGATAAATTTAAAATGAAAATTTCGCGAGCTGAGTTACTTACTAAAAGTAATAATTGATTGTATGGATACAAAGAAAAAATTCTTTTTTTTTTTTTTCTTTATTCCTAAAATTATATTATTATACGCTTCATTGATGATTATGTGTAAAATTCATTCCGGAAATGCACAGAATTGATAAGTGAAAAAATTATCGTAATTTTTATTTTAGTTTTATTCACGAATTCACGATATAAATAACAATTTAATTTTTTTTGTGTTTAATGTGTTGTAATTGTGATCGTTTAATCTGTGAATATTCTATTATAGAAAGGTGAAGTTTTTATTATTATTATTAAAAAGGTAAAATCTTACGTAATTACAGGATTGTGGTTCTCTTTTATTGAAAAATTAAATTAAAATAATGTACGGCAACAAATAAAACAAAAAATATTTTCTATGCAATTATTGTCACGTAGAAAAATGTTGACGTCAATGATTTTCTTCATTTATATATTTTAAAAATATTCAATTATTTACTGCAGTAAAAAAAAAAAAAAATAGAAAAAAAAGCATAAAAAATTGACAAAAAATTTTTTCCCGTAATTTAAAAATTAAAATTGTCACTTTTGAATAATTAATAATAAATTATATAATTATTACTATTATTATACTAAAATGAATAATGTTGAAATTTTTAGATTTTTTTAGATAGTGAAAGCTTTTTAAAGCATTATAAAAATGATTAATAATTTTTTATTTTTTTTATTTTCATTCTTCGTATTGTATTTGTTTAAATTTATTAGGTTTTTTTTTTTTTTGTTTCGGATATTAAAAATTATATTTATATTAAAATAAGGGAAGTTGATCGGTTTTTATTCGAAAGTTCTTAAAAATAATAATGATTATTTTTTTTCACAAATTTTATTTTGCCGTCAATAATCATAAATTTGTTAACGATTTTAGAATTCGAAATGAAGTTTTTATCACATTACGTTTTTTTATTGAAATTTAATTTTTTAATAATATTATTTTCACTAATAATTAATATGAATATTCAATATTTAAAACGACTAAATTTTATATAATTTTCAATAATTTATTTTTTTTAAAAGTGTTATTTACATAGCGAAAAATTGCTCTTAGCCATTCTTATAAAAAAAAAAGAAAAAAAAGTAACTTAATCTGATTAATTTAAAAAAAAAAAAAAATAAAAAAATTAATTATCGTTTAGCAAACAACAATTATATTTATTTTTGCTTGTTTAACATTGTTTGTGGTTTTTTTTTTTTTTTTTTTTTTTTTTTTTTGTATTTGTTTTGCAGTACACAATTTCTCAACCTTCTTCTCCTGTTAATTCCTCTTTAATTCACACTATTGTGGAGGGTCAAAGCGTTAGTGAAATCCCTCCTCCTTTACCGACAAGAAATCGTTCCTTTCATTCCTTTAGCTCACAACGCATGCCTTCAGGTGCAGGTCCTCCACTGCCTCCAAGATGCAATAATTTGCAAGTGCCTTCTAATAACGGTGCTGCTGCTTGTCTCCCTAACCAGCCTGATGGTGGACGGGCAGATGATAATAATAGTGATACCGTAAGTACAGCTTTTAAAGTAAAAAAATTTGGTGTTTCGTTATATAAATTTCGTTTTTATTTCATATTTTGCATTTTTTTTTAATATCATATTTTTTTCATTGAAAACTTACACACATATATATATTTATTAAACCAATCTTGTAATGTTGTTGAGATTATTTATTAAGATCGTAGGTGCATTTTTTTTAGACCTTGGAATACTTTTTTGAAGTCTAAAATTTTTAATCGCAAGGATTTCTTTTTTCACTTATAGAAAATTATGCAAAATTTAAGCTAATGGTAATATTGATAACCTTAATATTTAATAATTCAGAATTGTTTTTTATTTTATAAAAAAAAAAAAATTATTTAATATTTTCAAATTTTAAATAAAAAATTTTAACGTTAAAAAAATAATTAAGAATACACTATTTCGAATCAATTGATGCCAAAAAAAAAAAATTGAGTTAAAAAAAATTAAATAAATAAATAAATAATAAGTTGAATAAAACCCTGATGAAGAATAATTCAATTTATTAAAAATTACTTTGCATTGGAATACCTTTTTTTTTTTTTGGATTTGAGTCATTTTCTTCTGCATTTGTTGAAATTTCATACATGAAATTTGATTTTAAATTTTATTTAAAATAATATTATTCACTCTTGTTATTCTCTAAATTTACCAGTTACATAATGTTATTTTTTGCTCGAAAATTTCTTATCAAGAATTGGTTTTTTTTTAAAATAAATTGGGCAGTGGGTGACTTTGGTAATCAATAAATTTCAGTTAAATCAAGGTCAGTTGCATTTCAATTTAAATAGAATGAAAAAAAAAAAAAATTTTCTACTATCGACTCGAATCCCAATAATTAACATTGTTGTAAAAATTTAGGTTTAATTTTTTAATGTTATTTTATTTTATTTATTTATTTTTTTTTGAAAAGCCAGCTCCTGTGTACATAAACGTTTAAAAATTGACCTTAAAAAAAAAAAAAAAAAACTCAACGCATAGTTTAGGACATATTTATCAATCAGCATTAAATGTTTTAAGATCACGTATATGCATTTATCTGTGTCATGCTTATTTAAATTCCTTTCGCTAAAAAGCTTCAGATTTTTATTTTGTGCAGTCTGCTAGTAAAAGTATTTGTTTATTCATTTATTTAGAAATTTTAAATCTTATTTAAAAAAAAAAAAATTTTTTTTTTTTTTTGCTTTTATATTATTTTTTATAAAAAAATATTTATTATAATTAATTTAATAGAATATAATAATAATGCAAATTAAAATTTTAGATTTCTTGCATTTTGAAGTCTTAGATAAATTTAAATGGTATAATTTTAATTTTATTCTTTCTTTAAATGTTAATTACACAAATCACAATATAAATTTATTGAATTTGATGTTCAAGCCGGGATATCTGTTGCGTAATATTGAAATTTAATTAAACAATCCCCATTTTAAATTAATGTCATCGATTGTCAATCAAAGTTGAAAAAATTTTCAATACATTTTAAATTAATTTTATTAAAGTTAGTTGATTATTTTCATTGATAATTTTCAAGCAGGCGCCACCTCATACAGCTTCTCTAGGTCATCACAGAACAAAATCTAATCCAGATCCATTGGGATCGCAAACACCAATGCACAACATGACACCTATCGAAGCTTGCAAGAGATTAATAGCATCAGAATCACTTCAGGACATATACAAGAGGTCGAAAAGTCATCCGGGAGCTTGCGATGTGGATTCACCGCATGAATCACCCTCGGGAACACCTCCGCCACCATACAGAGGTATAACAGGTATGTAAAATAGGATTCGAAAATAATTATTGCATGTTAATTTTTATTATCACGAATAAAATTTTACGGTTTTTTTTTATGTCGGACAAAAATTAATAAAATATTTTTGCGGTTAAAATTTTTATTTCATTTAACTTTAATTATTTTGGATATTGGAAATTGCAATTTTCATAGTTAAAATAATTTTTTTAAAGGACTGCTTCTCAATCGCTGCACAATTTAATTTCAGATGATGGCGGTGGAGATGATGAAGTTCAAACGAGACCCCATAGAGATCAAACTCCTGATGTGTCACCATTGCGCGGAAGTCTTGGTGCTCAATCAAGCACCCCCGTTGGTCAAAATATAATGTCCATGGAAGATGATGATACATCTGATCAAGAGCTTGTAATTTTATTATTATTATTATTTTTTTGTTAAAAGCATCGTTTTATATTTTATTTTGATCACGTCAAAATAATTTTACGAAATTTCATTTTTTAAATTTTTTTTTATTGTCGAACATTAATTAACCCTTTTTTAAATCTTTCTTTTATATATTTTATAATCAGAAATACATAAATGTTTGTCCCTTTAGGCAATAGTAAACTTTAATTCAAAAAATTGAGTGAAGTTTTTTTTTTTTTTAAATCAAAATCACAAGAAAGAAATGTTTAATTATAGTATTTCATAACTTTTTTTTTTTTTTTAGAGTCATTTAGAAGACCACGGACCGTTTAAAAGTCTTAAGTGCCTATGGCAACACCATGCACATTTAGCTGTTTTTATGAATTATGTACTGTCCAATAGTGATCCTTCTAGTTTGGTAAAAAAAAAAAAACAAAAATATTTAAATAAGCATAAGTTTTTTTGAAAATTTTGAAAAAAAAATAAAAATCGAAACGGTTTTCTTTTCAGTTATTTTACTTAGTAACGGATTTATATAAAGAAGGTAATGCAAAAGAAATGAAAAAATGGGCCTATGAAATCCACTCTAGCTTTCTTGTGCCTGGAGCTCCACTTCGCCTTAATAATGTGGATGAAAATTTTGCTAGAGAAATAGATGACGTTTTAATTAGAGAATCTGATAAAGAAGAAATTTTAAGAATGGTAAGTTGATGAAATTATTTAAAAATTGTAATAGTAATTTTCAATTGAAGAAGAAAATTTAATGTCCTATGTTAAAAAAAATAAGAAAAGCCTACCGTGCCAAAAATGACTAATAATTAATTTAATAAATTGTTTAAGATTTTTTGGAAAGCCAGAAACAGAGCTCGAGAAGAATTAAACGAACAATTAGCTGATTTTCAACAAAAAAGAACTGCAGGTTTGGGTACATTGTTTGGTCCGAGTGACGCTTCCTTAGATGAAAGTATTCATGATAAAAACAAGGAAATAAAAATCATAGAAAGCATATTAGTGCCAAAGATAGAAAGTTATTTGTAAGTGCGACCGTTTGCAATTATTTGAAAAACGTACGATTTAATCAGCAATCTTTTTCTGCGATGTTATTTTTTTTAATCGTAGGGAAGATATAGAGAAAGATAACGTAGATATTCGAAGATTTACGACAGCTGCTGCTCTCGGTACCATAATGGGCAAAGTATTCGGTTTGCGAGGTCCTCACGCAAGTTCAGTTCTTGATAGATGTCCTACTTTTGTCTCAAAAGACAAAAGCTTAAAAGTAAAACTTTTAATTGGAAAATCTCGAAAGTTATCGGTTCGTGGTCATCATTTCGTTGCCCATTATTACTACACTGTTACGTACTGCAATCATTGTCAATTAATCATTTGGGGAATCGGACCTCAAGGGTACCAATGTTCGAGTAAGCTTTTCTTCATTTTACTTATTGATGAATATTTAAAAACAGCTACATATTCATATAAATAGCTACATATTTGTTTTCTAAGTAGACTAAGGTTTTCTCATTTTGAAATTTAAAAATAAAATGTAATAAACAACTGTTTATTCCAGACTGCAATTTTAACGTTCATCGTCACAATTGTGTACGGGCGGTCGAAGAAAATTGTCCTGGTCCCATATGTAAAAAAGACAAAGGCGACAATAGAATAAGTAAATTAATGGAAAAAATACGGCCTGAAAGAGAAGCTAGAAGAAAACCCAGCACTCTCAATTTTTCACATTATTAACTGTTTTATTTTTTTTTTTTTTTTTACGCGAAAGAAAAATTTGTGTTTTTTGTTATTATTATTCGTTTCATTTAGCCAAATGATTTAAAGAAAAAAAAATTTTTTTTTTTTTTAAATTTTATCTAATGTTTTATTGAATACTTTTTTTTTTTTTAGTTGATCGGGCCAAGAAGCATTCAGAAGATAGGGATGATACTGTAGGAATCGGAGACAACGATTCAATTATTGGTGAGTTTCCAGAAATTTTATTATTATTATTATTTTTAATTCCAAAAGTGTGTGTGAGTTATGATTTGACTAAAATTTGGTTTATTGCCCTTAATTTTGTTTTGATTTGGTCAAAATCGAAATTACGCGGTTTTTTCGGTCTTGGAAAAGAAATGTTTGATAAAGTTTAGAAAATGTAGTTGCTAAATTTTCTTTTGGTATTTAAGGGTTATTAATTAGGGGTGTGTGATTCTTTTTGAGATGAGTTTTTATTGAAATATGTCGTATCAATTTTTTTTTTTGACGCATGACGGTTAAAAATTTTGTTTTAAATAAATTTTATTGATTTATTTACGTTTATAAGGAGAAAAAATTTTTGCAATCGTTTGTATAAATTCAAATTTGAATTTTTTTTTTAATGGTTTTTTTTTTGTTTAAATTTATTTAAATTGTGTTTTTTTAAAACAAAACAAAACAAAAACAAAAAAAAAATTCTCAATTTTTTGTTTAATTTATTTCTAAACAGTTCAAAATATTTTAATGTTTTATTTATTGTTGGTTTTTCACTCAAAAATTTAAAAAATTTTTCGTCGGTCGTATTTCTGTTCTTACTTTTTTTTTTATTTTTATGTTTTTCACTCCTACGGATAATGTAAATAAAAAAAAAAAACTTTTTTTTTTTTTTTCTTCGGTTCGACCTTTTGCTCATTTCAATTTTTAAATCTGCGGGAAAAGAAAAAAAAAGAAAATTATTTTGGTTTTCATGGCTGTTGTTTGTCAAAGTTTGTTAATTTTTTCCAATGGAAACAAAATTCTGTGTCGATATTTTATATTGAAATCGCAACTATCGTTCGATATATACATTTTCTAATACTTTTAACATTAATTGAAAACGGGGGGGGGGGTATAAGATTGTCTCGAATGTTTATTCTAGCAAAAGTTTCCTTTTAATTTTTTTTTTTAAATTAGTTTTTTTTGAAATGTACGGATTAAGATGTCAAAGGTTATTTACATGGACATTTCGGACTTGAAATAAATAATAATAAGTTTAAAAACTTTTTTATTTTGGTTTTTCGAAATAATTTTTAGAATTTAATCGAAAAAAAAATAAT